GATGACAATTTTCATAGGGAAAAAGTGTATAATGCTGGAATTACAGGTATGTCGTCGCATTGGGATGAATGTCTGGATAGAAAGGACGATTTCAGCAACGACCGGATGACAAGAGCAGTCGAGTGAATAACGTCGTTTTGGGGATTCCGTGGTTCCCGTGTTTCAACACCTCCCCAAGCGATGGGTGTTCGACTGAGGTCCGGTATACGTGTAGAAAAGACGGTTGATAGGCATCCTTAGAAAGGAGAAAAGTCCTAACGCTCCCATCCAGGTGATCGTTGATTGAAATGGGATTGTGACTGTAATGGGGGCAAAAGTGTTTGTATTGAGACGGAATGGTTTCTCACGCGGAACCGATCTATCCCACGAGGCTATTACCTGAATAGAAAAGGCGAGCCAACCGGCAATAAGGAGGGAAGAAATGAATGAATTTGATGATCTGCCCCCTATCTCCGTGGCATTTGGTCTGGTTAGCTAGTTGGGCCTGGACCCTATAAGTTGTTGTACAGGCCAAATCCCCGAACCAAATACATTTACGATGTCTGAATCTGAAATTGCCCTCCGAAAACGATTTTCCGAGTCCATGTATTAAATATTAGTTTGTATTGAAAGCATGAACAATAAAAAATGACGTCAGCAACAGAATAAATCAATCGCTGGCCGTTATACAATAATAATAAACGCGTCATAGATTAGAGCTGCCTTAAGAAGAAACACCACCGTCGCCTTCGGTCGCCACCATCCGTAAACACAGCCTGTGATGGGTAGGAAAGATGAATGATAGATAGACTTGATATTGATTGCTAATTCCCCATTTGTCAATCGCTTTCCGATAATAAACCATCAAATAAAATCACAAAGGACCATGTGAGTAGAAAAAGAAATGGTGGTCTTTCATCACTCGGGAGGATGATGAAGGACCGCCATTTCAAACGACATTCTACCTAATAATTCAGTCACATTGCTTGGTATTCAAAGGGACAGGAACGGCTGAGATTTCCTTTTTAGGGACGGAGGGAGCAAGATCATGATGCCGTACATAATTTAACCTTTGGAAACGTTTTATAGGAGAATAGACGTTCAACTTCCTCCACTGGAAACGTAGTTAAGTACATGGCGTAATCTGAAACCTAATTATGGAAAACCTGTTGTTTTGACCCATAAGTACCTTCAAAGGACCCTTTCACTTCAACCCCAACTTATTTTTGATTGATGGTCGAAAGGGTGATTTATGGCAATCAAGATTTAAAAGTGCATAAACTGTGTAAGAAAGGGAAGACGTCCGTTGGTCAATAGTTTGGTTGGAATAAGTCGTGTATCAGCTATTGCCCAGAGAAGTTCGGGATGATCTACAGGATTATAAAAGTGTGTGGAAAAGCAATGCCTAAGTGGTGGCCTACTACTAACCGGATTCCAACCATTTACCCCAACGTGTTCACCTCCAAACAGGTCGCCAACATTGTTTGGTTGATTTTGAAAAGAAAAAATCAGGCGATGGACAAATCTTCTTATTTGATTAACCAGACAACCGGCTGTTGATTAAGGTCGAAGGTAAAAGACAAATTCCGTAGGAATGCGTCCAGAACTTGACTTCCGTTTAGATCACGAAAATCGTTTTTGTACAAAATTAGCCCTTTCGATGGCTGAGGAGAGGGGTCAGTTGATGTTCGGGCAACTTCGCTCTCCCACACAACTCCGCCGTTTACTAGCGCTTTCAGAAGGGATAGTTGGAGATCATGAGCCATCACCAAAATACGATCTGACAATGAACTTTGGAGTAATTCGTCTCGGACATTGAAAAGGCAGAAAAGTAAGGCAAAGATGAACGAAGAAATGGAATCCGCATAAGTTCTTGTATAGAGCTGTTTTGTTCGAACTTCAGTAGGTTTCAACGAAACGAATAGGGAACGAAATTCACGACCCGACATTGAAATCTATTGAACTTGAAACTCAGCATGTCCTCCACAGCGACCTTGCCCTTTGTCAATTGCGCTGAAATGGGGACATGGACTGGTAACCAGTAAGCGAACCCACATAAGCCTACCCGTTTGGCCAGTTTCGTCAACATCTAATCTGTAAGCACACGATCAGTAGACCAGCTTAGCAACAAAGCCATTTTCTGAAGAGTAATTTCCTACATTGACTTCTTCCATTCTCCCACATCCAGTTACCGACAACTCTACAGTCGATGTCAATTGTCCTTGAAATTCGAGAAATACTGCTTATTAAGACTTTCAGAGCAAAGTCAAAGATCAGAGTATGAAGCCTTCTATGTCGTGATCGTGGATGGAGAAGAACTTGATCATACAACCTGTGCCAGAGTCCTCCTCTGGCCACTGCTCTACCGGAATAGTTTGGGATAATGGTGGAGCAGAACTGGAATGTGATTGGGCAGAAGAGTATTGGGATATATGGGGCCCAACCGAACGGGCCGATATGCCATCGATGGCTGAGGAATGAAAGTTTTAGTTGACATGAGCGGAGGCAGTTCAGGAATTTGATCTCTTGACCATGCAGACGATAGTGGCACCCCACTAGCGCCATGCCACTTCTAGGTTGACGATCCTGAAGGCTTCTATGTGTAATGGGCTAGCATTTTCGGACACTGTCACTCAAGCATTAACTCTTCAGTGATGGATGTGTCAACATGGATCCTATCGTCAACGGAAAACTGCTTTCACAGATTGAAATCGCGGTTCAAAGTTCGAACTCTCCGATATTTTCGGAATTTTCTACTCAAAAGCAAAACAGATCAAGCTGCTGACACACAACTACAACAGGAAGTAAACAAAAAAGTAATTATGTTAACAACCAACAAAAATCTCTGTCTCTGAAGGGAATCGCCTACCAAGTCACTATGTTTTGACGGTGCAGTTCAGATTTGGATGATCCGAATACCAGTAGTATGAGAGCTTTCGCACAGCCGTTGACCAGCAAAGGCACGCTAGGGCAAGACCAGTTCTGCGGTTTCAGCCCTTTTTAGATCGCGTTCCCCCCGATGTTCGTTGATTGACCCATCGCTCATAGCAAGCCAATCAAAACGCTGTTCTTCCCATGTCTAAACGGTTCATAGACAAACTCCAATACTAGAAAATTAATGTTTTCTCAAAACTTTGTTGTCATCGTTATATTGCAGGGCGGAACTGTATAATTTGATCAGTTGATGGCAAAATGACTGACTCGATTAGATCGTGGGGATGGCTGAGACGTTGGTTTTTTTCCCATCAGTCAGTGGTCAGGAATGTCAGACGGGGAACGAGACGGCAGTTTTCTTACCAAAGATTACTTTGTCTACACAATTCGCCGAAGGATCACTAGGAAATCATGGCTGCAAAGGCAATAAAGTGTTTGTTGTCCAGAAAACGACATCGTGCAGGGCGATAGCAGTTCCCAGCGGTGTTTTTATACTTTCGACAGAGTTTCTTGCTAAGTGGTTGGCCGATTCCGAGCGACGTATGAATGGGAATTGATGGATACGCGATACGGAAGTGACGTCTTCTGCCACTGCTCTGCACACGAATGTTCAGGGAACAATACCCCTGTAGGGCTCTCCTGTCCCCTCCCCACTTTCCTGCCATCACCTTAGAAGTAAGTAGCTTCTCTTACATAGAGAATAGAGTATAAGTCTTTGACGTCAGTCAGTTAAATCTGGGATGCGCCCTGTATTCAACTTTCATCCAGAGTCGTAGGGGCAGTATGCTCATAATACGTTTTTCAGTTGAGGTAGGCGTCACCCGAATGGATGATCAAGTGCTCGGTAGTAGGACGGTGTCAAGGGGCTTACAGCTTTCAGAATCATCCTATACACCGTATTATTATCACCATTGCCATTACCATTATTACTTTTATGATAACTCCTACTATTCTTATCATTTTGATTTGTTTATTGGCTGGTGTACACCATGGCAGGCAAAACTAGCCTTTGCCATACCTCCCTTTTCTACTTAATCGATCAGCAATTGTTTGGGAGTTGTTTTACGTAACATTCATTCACTAAGTTGTTGACGAGGATAGACATAATCAAAACCCGCCGACCGAAACATGGCCTTAATTTTATTTATCACAATTTAGGCAAGCTATTCACACACACCCATGACAGCAACCCTAACTGAGCATGGGAATACCATGACTGGGACAACTACACATACATTCCGAGCCAGGTATATTTTCCCACTGAAAAGGTGCTATTTTTCAACAGACCATAAATCTTTTGAGCCTATTTCCCAATCAATAAGTCATATTCGATTAGGTGATCCAAAGGGCAAATTGCCGCTACACGGATTTCGGTTTCAGCCAGATCTGAAGATTTTATGAGAACCTACGGATACTGTGGCTGCCTATTGATCAACCCTTGCCGTGATACTGTAAGAGTAAGCGCGATAATGTCTTTGCTTTGAGAAAACAGATAAAGTGTGAAGAATATGATTTATAGTCCTATTAAATTATATAGTATCATTAAAAGAACCACCACGACCGTGTTTGCTTTTCTTTAGCGTCTTTCTCAAGATCACGTAAATACTTCTTAGCATATTCTTGGACGCGAGGTTCTTCAGACTTGCTCACCATCACGGCTTTTCTCGCCCACTCGAGCGCTTCTTTCTGAAAAGTTAGAGCTATAGACATAAAAAAATATTCATCAACATCACAAAACCATAATGAACTTGTAAGTTGCGGACTTCCAAAACCCCAATCTCACAAAATCCTAGGACTTGGAGCTTTCTGATAGAAAAGAAATATGTAAGAATAGGATCAAGTTTAGCCGAAGTCGTAAAGTTTGAATCCAGAAAGGCCATTATAAGAAAATGCTCGGAAGAGGCTCACCTTCCTTCCAACATGGAAAAGGGCTTCGGCATAATTGCAGTAGTAACCAGGAATCATGCTAGCACATTCGTTCACAAACAATATCCGTTCGATACCGATCGAAAGATACTTCACAGCCAATTCAAACCTTAAAAGGTGCTAATTTTCTCGACAAATCCGCGTTATTTCACAATAACTGACCTATTTCTGAGGATCAGTGCGGCACCAAAGTTGTTGAGCAGATTGATTGTATGATACGAAGTCGCTCCATAAATCTGATAACAGATCTGAACGCATTCGTTGAATTGTTCCTGGTCCAGTACTATTCTAGAGGTAAAGACAGAATAGTTACCTTCATTACTTCATCCATATACTCCTCTGCTTCCCGTAACCGCGTTTCATCGCGATAGGTGACCTGATTTCATCATTTCAATGATGCATAGGTGGAAAAGGATAAATGGGATACTCACAAGGAAATGGGCATATCTTTCTAAAGACATCCCAAACAGAGCAAGAGGATCCGTATAAACCTCTCCCATGGTGTCGACTTTGTGTGCATCCTCTACAAGTGCACCATGGGCGACACTGTAGCTCTTCATGTGCTCGTCAACGACCTGAAAATGCAACACAGACCTCTTTTAAAGGAGTAATTCCCATAAGAAAAAGGACAGCTACAGGTGCTAAGAAATAGGAAAAGAAATAGAAAAAGGTTAAGACAGTGCTGAATATCGGACCTGCATCTGCTTACGGACGCAGTGTGAAAATCCTGTTTCTGCATCGTCAAGCTGGCCTTTCTGAGCAAAAATATCAGCCAATTTCAGAGATATGCCGATAAATTCGGGGTCATTGTCGCGTTTTCCATGCAGTCTTATTAAGCTGTAAAATCACTTTCCCTAGCATTCAGTTACTGCTTCAACATTTCTTGGAAAATTGTTTGCAAAAAAAAAAACGAAATTCGAATTGAAATTGGAAAACGAATTTCGTGCAAACGTCTATGAATTGCTAATTTTCACATTTTAAAGCTACGTTAGGCTACTGTAGCGACCAAGTTGAAAAAACAAATACGAGTAATCAACAATAAAAACTGACCGATTGACGACTATTTGGAAATGTTTGATAGCTTCATCGTGATTACCCATCTCATAGTAGGTGTTAGCTAGCTCATCATAAATTCTGAAAAATCGTCTCTATAATTAAAAATGGTTAGAAAAAGCGGGATCTGTATTTGTACATTTCCTCATGTGACAATAAACATTACTAGCAACTAACCTCGTGATTGGTAATTCCTCTTTTCTTTCTAAGGCTTCCTCTAGAGCTATCTCTAAGATCTGAACTGCTTCCGTATATCGACCATACTTTCGGTGTAGCCATGACTAAATCAACTGGTAAAGAAATAGTAGAAAGAAAAGGTAATTAGAAGAGAAAGATTTTTCAGAATTGATCCCGCTGTACTCGCCGATTCTGCAGAAAGGACTTATAAAGCCAGTAGATCGGATCTATCCCACACTAATGTACAGATCAATGTAAAAAAAAATGGAGAAGTGGGTGTGGATTAGTACGTTGGTCAGTAATGGTAAAGTGGAAATTGCAGCTCGAATCTTGGCTTGAAATAGGGATTCTGAGTTTTTGAAACTTTCTACTCAAAGAATTCTAAACGAAACTGACTCTTTTGAATGAATTACCGTAATACCTGTTTAACTTTTTCTTTCAGTGGATCCTTGTCCAGTCTAACAGGCTTGATACCTAACACGTCTTTTAGGGTGACGATCCAAGAAAGGCCAAGTAGAGGCGCACTAGAAGCATACCACCATCGTCTTCTGCAAAAAAATGCATTAGTTCGATGCCAAGCTCAAGCAAGGCCGCCCAATTTCAGGACGAACCTTCGATAAGATTCAGTATCATTGGAAATTCAACACTCCTACCAACGACACCCCGGACAGTGAAAGAATTACATAATCGGACCCCTGCGGGCGCTAAAAAAAAACGATCTTACCGTTTCGACTGTGAATGTTCACTATGCTCAGAGCTTCTCCTCTCGTAGTCCTGTTTTTTTCTCCATCGTGAATAACTTTGTTCTGAAGTGAAGGAAGCACTCTGCTCAGATATGCACCTATGCACATTGCGCGTCAGCCTCACACAGAACCTCATCCGCATCGATGGTAACATCTCAAATACAAGAGTGGAATGGTTGCTTCAAATAATGTGTTAATTATAATCTGGTTAGGCGAACGTCGATCAAACCCAGGTCAGACCTCAGCTTCGAATGGCCTTCGATCTAATCAATTGCAAACATACTCGAAAAAAGAATTAGAGGCTTGCTAAATACCCCCTATGAAACCACTTTGACTTCCTTTCCCTGGATATTATTAGCCAGGTTTGACTTCTTCTGACCTCCTTGAGACTAAATGTACCTTTGAATATTCTAAGACAATCAATTTAAAAGAATGCACTCGTCGAATAACAAGAATTATTGACAGGCTGGAACAAAATAGAAATCTATTTATTACAGTAATTACCAATGGAAATAAATACAAATACACAATCGGCCTAATCTTAGAGCTCTACGAGTAAGCAGAAGCATGCAAAAAAGCTTCTAAGTTGTTGCCTCGCCTGAGGCAACAGACTATCTTGTCCACAACTGGTATAGCAAGAAGCGCATGAGGTGATTAGTCGAGTTCAACAATAATTCGCTATCTACATATAACTACAGTAGCAACCAAATGGCACAATATAAATGACCACAAATAGGAGCTGAGCAATTTTTTAAACCTAATGATCTGGAAAATGGAAGAATTACATTTGAAATTTTAGGGTAATAAAAACATGAACTACCATGTTCCAAAAAATCAGGACACCAATAAAGTTATCACAGGAATTTTCTCAAAGCAAAGACTGACTGAAAAGAGTACTAGTCCATTTTTAGAGCGAAGCTCGACCCACATGAGCAACCTTTCTCGGCGATAGGATTGTTCACGACTCGAAATGATTCTTTCATCAAGTCTGCTACGTAGTCAATAGTAGCTCCACGCATATATCCTAGCGACATCTATAACCTTTGCGTGTAATTAAACGAAAATGCACTTAAGAAAACTTCTGTAAAAGAGGAGATTGCATGACTTGAATAAACAAAGAGTGAGAAAGACAAGTAAAGGAAAAAGAGCCATTATTGCTTTAAATGATTATAGACAACCAAAACAATTCACACCTCGTCGATTACTACTTCAACATTGTCGCCTTTCCAGAGCCGGTCGTCATTTTGGAGCTTTGTATCCAGTTTAATCTTGTATTCGAATCCAGAGCAGCCTCCTCCGTCCACTTCAATACGCAATCGCTCACCGGGAGAAAGGACTTCCTATAAACCTTAGTGTCAGAAATTGTGAGATACCCAAAAGGAATGTTGTACGAATTTCACCTTTAGCCGCTGATGAGCTTTGTCTGTGACCTTCACGTCTTCCACAGTCAATGGTTTGAGGGCACTGCTACTTATACAAAAACTACGAGATAATCGTGATGCATAGTAAGCCGTGGCTCGGGATGAGCGCAGCATCCACGGTTAGTCTACAAAGCCAAACCGTGTTTAACTCACTCTGCAGTCTTTGATATGTGAAGCCATCAAAAAGTACAAAAATTGAGACATTGAAGTGATTCCTCATCGCAGTCAAATAAAGCACAAAATTATCTGCATAAATTTATTGTACCAGTCCAAATGGCAGACTAGAAGATAGCAAAATGCTTCACAAAGGCCTGGGCCGGCGAAATGCGAACAAGAAACATAGAAATATGAGATACAACGTGAATTGAAAACTGGAGGCATAACTTCAAACAGGAACTCGAACATGTAGAGAGGTTCAGTCGGAACCATGATCGAAAAGCGTTAGTCGCTGACTCTAGGTGTCATGATTGAAGAGAACAATTAAGGCCAAAGTGAATTTCGTGAAGAGCACTCAGAATTTAAGCACGACAATGGCAAACCTCCAACAACCTAGACTTAGGGAGCTGAAGAATTGTCTAAAGCACCACACAAAAAAAGTTATGACTTTACAATTTCATAACACCGCCTAAATGTAGGAGAAAACCCTCACAATCTTTTAAATATTATTAAGTACACTGGAGTGAGGAAAATTAAAGGCTGGAGGAATGCAAGAAACCTGGAACGAAACGACTTACGAACACCACTGTCTTTAACCTGAAGGACTTGTTTGAGGCAGGCTAGTGGTTCATAACCTTGCACCATACAATTCTTTCTAAAGCTGGAATTCATGACAACCTAAATCTCGAGAGCATGATTTTCTCAGTGCCACGATGCCTAGTTATTTTACGGTAAAAATCTGATGCCTAGGCTTCCTTTTAGAGAACTCAGAAGAAATAATTCTGCCTATTTCTAGCCGTTACAAAAATATGGAGCACAACCATGCCCAAGTCGAGAGAAAACCTGCTCCAACAACGCTATGCCTTACTACAATAAAAGGAAAGCAAAGAAAAAGAGGCAGCGATAAATTACTTGAGAACGTGCAGAAATATATAAAGCTATGGATAATAAAGCCACAAAATTGTGTAAACATGACACAATGACACAGTTCAAGAATGAAAAATTGCAAAACATCAAGTCGCAGTATAGAAAGTCTATAGAGCAAGGAATTTCCAAAAAACCTAATCAGTAGCTATCGACTACAAGATGGTTGTGATGGTCCGGGACTAGGTTGGTTAGCGCGTCGTCGTTGACGCTCGAAGCGCCTGTAGAATCATGAAAATTAGATTATTGCTGTGAGTTTGGTCAACAGGAACCAGGGACCATATCAGTAATTCATTTCTTACAAACCACATTTCCACGTTTACTCCACATGCAACTATGGCCTCTGATTATACATGTACGACTCGCGAATCCGAGATCCCAGACTAAGCCCATTCTTACTTGACCCACTTTATTCCTCCTGGGAACCATCTTTTTCACCAGCTTAATTCTCAGGGGACAAGAGCTGTACGAAATGCGCTGAACCAAAGAAGGAAGTAAAACAATATTCGAAAAACTGACCGCTCCATTTCATCCAGGAGACGTGGCGTGTATCGAACAACAAGGCGCACAGTACCTTGGGCGGATTTCAATAAGTCAACAGCCCTTTCATGACATTCACTTTCCACATTCTGAAATCAAATCAAAAAATGTCAGCTTCGTGATTTCCAGTTAAGTGGTTCACAAAGAATGAGACAGCAATAATCGAGTAATGCACAGTTTCTTTCAGTTTCAAAAAGCCGTATGCCAAAGAGGTCATACAAATTGGCACTTCCGTGATTTAAAGGGAAAAAACTTCCAACGAAGAAGTAATAAACAGGTAATAAGGCTGGTACTGAAATCTCACCACTCCGTTCACAGCAATCAGCTGATCTCCACGTCTTAAACCGCCATGACGATCAGCGACACCACCTGGTATGATTCTGAAAGAAAACGTTCATGAAAAAATATCACAGCTGACATAACTTCAAAGAAAGATGACCTCGATATATAAATGGGAGAGTTTTGCTCCTTCCCACCCATAACATTGAATCCCAAGCCTTGATCGGTTTTCGGCAGTTCGACAGTACGCGGGTGAGCCTGTCCTTCAGCGGCGGCAAATGCGGCCACGGTTGCTTTCGCAGTAGCGGAGGCCCGCACCTTGAATCAAAATATGAGTTTTGTTAATATACTTTATATCTCAAATTACTAATAAACACTGGTACAAAAAATGTAAACATGAAAAACCTCCGGCGGCCCATCGATGTCCACCGTATCGTAGACCGTTTCGTAGACCTCCCGGACAGCATTGAAAAAGTCTGACTTGAGAATTTTTTGGAGAGAAGCTAGCTCAGGTGTGTTGATTTCTCCTGTTCCTTGGACATGCTCAATCAACTCCAATATACGATGGACATCTGAAATAGAGGCAGAGATAAAGTAAAACAGCTTCGCAAAAGACAAGCGAAATAACTCCCACCTTGCTTCAAATTCGGTTTTTCACAGTTCTTTTTCTCCATGCCAGGAACGAGCAGGAGTCAAAACAGTATGGATACGATTCTAAGCGTTCTGAATGCAATAAATCTGACGTATCAACGAAATGTGAAAGAGCTTTTCAATTACAGTAGAAGTAGCTGTTCGAAAACGGCAACAATTGAATTCAGTCAACACCCAGTTGTAAAGCGTGTATTTGAAAAAAACAGAAAACAATGGCCACTATAACAACTATATCTCGCTAACAAGCTTAAACGTCTTTGACATTTCGAATGGTATCACATTGAAAGTGAGCTTTCGTAATTCCAAATCCTTCTTATGTTCATAAATAGTCATCTCGGGATTTGTCAAATCTGGATTAATCCGTTCCGCAGTTATTCGGACAATGCCATCACATGCCGATCTCAGTATTTTCTCAGTTCGATCAGCTTCAAAATACACCTGAAACCAAAAGTTACGCGTAGAATGTGAAGTGATTACGAAGGGATGTTTAGCCAGACATCGCTCACACTCATTGTGACAAGCATATCTAATCAAAGACCAGAATTCAATCAAATTCGGGTATCAGCACAATTTCACACAAGGGCCTAGCAGAATAAAGAGAATGCGAACAAACAACACACAGTAAAGAGATACTTAAGCACTTATCATTCTCGAAGGGCGTGAACAAACCACCAATACTCACATTGAGGCCAGGATGGTAATTCATATTTTTTTGGCATACGAGCATGTCATCCTTACGAACTGTTTCACCTTCAGTTCTGAAATAAAACTGATATAAACGACGATGTAACCTTGAAATCAGTATAAACACCTGTATATTCCGCGAAAAGGGAGGTTCGGTGGTGGCCGAAGGAGAGTGCGCAGTTGACCCACCAAGGATAGCCGAGTTTTTAGTAGGCCCATCAGTAAGCGGTAAACAATCTTAGAAAACACCAACCACTGATGATAACTTGTTGAATCAAAGATGGCTCTGCAACATTTCCTTCCATTAAATATCAATGTTACAGTTCATTTGAATGTTCAATTTGTTTTCTTTCCTTCCATAAACAAGCACCAACGCTTCTCAGAACAAATAATTCACAAGGTTCATAAAAAATAAACGAAAAAACACATGAGTAAACAAACGGAAGATATAAAAGATGAGATGTGTATAAGAACAAAACGAAAGCTACAACAGATCTCAAGTTCATTATGCCCTCCTACTGAAAGCACGTAACACCTTCCGAGATCTGCTTAATAGGGTAACAATCGAAAAGCAACATGTACCAGTTGAAAGAGAAATAGAGCGCTCTAAAACCATTTGACGTAGCACAAAAATACTGAGTGTGATTGCGGCTACCACGCCCGCTCAGCCTCTTACAGTACATCATAAATCTCCCTTTGCCGGCGCGTAATTGTTAGGAAGAGGGAGAAATGTACTCGGAGCTTGAGTGTAATGGAAAACTGGCTACATTCTCCGAGCACATTATCATTTTTGGTACATCCATAGTGAATGATCGCCTTTTGCTGAGTGACTCGCCATGGTTTACAGTTTGGGATAATGCAACTCGTCTGCTATCGTTATGAAGGTTGAAAGTTGAACTACCTTTAGGGCTCCGTACATGAAACAAGCATTGCTACAGAACCATGAATTGCAGTGTGCTGGATGAGTAGTAGTAGTAAAGTGTTCAACAAACGCCTCATGTTGAGGTCCAACTCTACGAATCAGTCTGATAACGAAACTAATTCCCTGTGACTAGTGGTAAAACGAATTGGATGTAGATCTACCAGACTCTGGACAGGATCAAAACAATGTTTAGCTGCTGACGACCATTGTTGCCTGTACCTAGTTTTTGCTCTTTGGATATTGCATCTCCAAAAAGGAATGCCTGTAACTATGCGGATAGGATCGTTCCCCATTGACTAACAGCCTTCATAGGTTCCACTGGTTTTTAAGGCGTGGCTACGATAGGACCTCTACTTTTCCGCCTCCAACGACCGATGACCTTTACGAAACCAATTTTCGAATTTGCCGTTTTGCGACGACCAACGACAAATGATCCTCACTCCCCTGCCGATTCGACCTTGCGTGTGCTCTTTCGTATGGGTCTCTCTGCGCGTGTGCTCTATTGCGACTCCTCTCTCGCCCTGTTTCGAAACGATGCATAGACGCAGAGCAATTTGTTTCTGTTCGCCAGCGGTCATGTGCCATGCCCCCGCTTTCCCAAGTCGGTTGCTTCCTCCACTTTCTCATTTTCATTTTGTTATTGTTTCTTTCAACACATTCATTACAAAGGTGTATTTCTCAACCCATTCCGCTGTGAAGGAGTACGCTTGTGTCTTGGTGCTTCGCGGGCTCAACAAAGTTCTCTTGGATCTTTTAAGAAACCACTCTCCTAGAAAGGTGGTTAAATGAAATGCGCAGATGCACTGAATGTTCTAGAAGATGACTCAGAATTTCTTTTTCTCACTTCTTAGAGTGTCTTCATCTTCTGCTTTGAGCATTGTAGAAAGTTCAAATATTCTCTAGAACAAAGTATTGTAAAAATTCATTGAATATGTGATCAACGTCTCGTTTCGTCTTATATGTAAATCTCGCAGACTTTTTGTTACGTATGGGTGTTTCCTGATTATGAACCAGTTAACCGTACTGTTATTGCGTCTGTAGCGTAATGGCCTTTCTTTAGTTCCTGCTGGAAGTTCAAAATGTGTTTGTGAGGCTGCGGTTGTCATGTGAGGCGTAACGGGTTTCGCTTGCAGCTCTATATCAAAAGAAATCATCTGAGGCTTTTGGTCTAATTACTTTACAACAAGTTATGCTGTGATGGGAGCCTCTTAGACTTGGGAACGGTTGGCTTTCTTGTCCCATTTTCAGCTTTTTTTTGAGATTCATTCTAGTAAAGCTGTTATTAACCTTGATCAGGAATGGCCTTGCACAAGTACCAGCTCTTTGTTTACTTTTCTGTCAAGGTTGTCATCAGTAATGTAGTTTTTCTGCATTTGGAGTGGTCTAACACAACTTTTCGTATGAGATCGAGGAGTAGAAACGACAGACAGAAACCGATGCTTTGGAGGGCAGTTGTTTATTGGCCATGCACAGTCTTGAATACTAGATTCTACATTCCCGAATGATAGGTTCTAGACTGTCCTGGCTGGATTTGTCTTCCCACAGTATAACTTTCCACAAAGTTTATTTACCAACTTTTTTCCTCGTAAATTAACCATGTGGTAGGCTAAAAGTCGTTAGTTTACAGAGAAAACAACAGGTTGTAGAGACGTATGCTGGGAAGATCGCCATTTGAGGTGCTAAGTTCCTATTTCTATAAGACTGTGAAGCGAAAATACATTTTTTGTGAAGATGTACACTAATTGTTGTCGTAGGGGTGGTAACTAATTAATAACTAATCTAACTAAACTAACTAATTAATCTTTGGTAACTGGATTTTTTCTCGAGATCTTGCAGTTTTTGCTTCTTTTATAGACTGGTCTTCGAGTAATCGTGCCTCGCGTCCGTGTAAATATCAGAAAATGCTGCCTTCCAATTGCCGTAACCTAGCTTTAATAACGAAAAAGGTTTCGGAAACGTTAGCTTTCAGGTAGTTGCTTACAATATGGGCAAGAGAAAGTCAAAGAGAAAGCCGCCACCAAAGGCAAAAGCAGTGGTACCACTAGAAACGCAGTTCAACTGTCCTTTTTGTAATCATGAGAGAGTATGCGAAGTCAAAATGTGAGTAAGCTTGCTTTGTTGCATTTGCTTTAGCACCTTTAGAAAAATGCTAGTTTTTAGGGACCGAGAACGAAATGTAGGATTCATTTCCTGTCGAGTCTGCTCAGAGGATTTCCAGACGCCGATCAACTACCTCTCAGAACCTATAGATGTCTACTCAGATTGGATTGACGCCTGTGAAGCTGCGAATGCGTGAAGGAACAGACTTGATCCTATGCCTGATCTCTTGGTTCAGTTTTTGAAGTTTTTGAAATTTACCAACTTTTATTTTGCTTTTTCCTATTTTACGTCCATGTTATTTGTTTTCCTGTTCTGCTCACCTTTTGTATATAATCTATGAGAAATACATATGTAACGCTTCATGATTGGATTGTAATTGCTAAATGCTGTTGATCCTGTCATTTGAACTAAATTATCAATAAAAATGTGGTAGAAGCCGTCCATAAGTCGCCAATCTTGTGGTAGAAGCCTAGTTTTATAGCTAAAGTTGTTGTGTGATTAATTCTATACCATTTCTTTTTTCGAATGCATCTCACCGTTCGCTACAATAAATTGTTGAGGTCATCCAATATGTGGATAGGCTTCAACGGTGTAAGTAGAGCTTTCTCTAACTAAAATTTGTAGAAGTGGAATTTTGAAGCATCGGTTGGTTACGTATTTTAGTAGTTGTTATTTCGGATGTGTCAAAGGGGCCAGTATTAGATCCGAACTTGGCATCTTTGTGCTGCATCGGTTGCGCGTATATACAACAGTCATTTTCGAAAGAGTGCATGCAAAAATAGGATTGAAAACAAGATTCCGTTGGTAGAGCTGCTCAATGTATTCGCCTCACCTGTCCCCCTGTTGATCATTAATTCCTGGCCACTAACTTCTTCACTCGTCCTTGTCGCGAACCAGGTAGTCAGGCGAGTCTTTACTTGACGGACACGAGGCGTAGCATTCTTTCCGTTCAGAGCTTCGTGAAGAAGTCTCACCATTGCCCTGGCGGTCGTTCTTGTGTTCGTTTGACGCCTCGAGGGGTTCATTGAGAAACCGCCCTGGTACAAGTGTCATCACTACATCGAATGTCGTGACCGGCCACCCAGACATCCGATTATTTAGCGTGAGCAACGATATAACCTATTAGGAAGCAAAACCAACAGTAACTGTGCCGTCATGAGTTTCTTTTTGTGCTGACTCCATCCGTTCCATACTTTTGGATCTCTCATGTAGGTTTGCTTTGAGAGGACTCGTGTGTATTCTCGCTCGTGACTTTTTGTACTGTAAATAGTACTTGGGGAGAAGTACTTTACGCATTTCAGGGTTTTCAATGTGGACTTGTTCCTGTCCAGTCCGATATGCTACGCAGAACCAAGTATGTGCGTACTTTAGGTTTTTTTATAAATTCGTTTACTCATCTTTCCGCCAGTGAGTAAGTTTTAATCACACTCAAGAATAAAAATTGGTATATGTGCTGGCTGGGCCCCACGAAAGATTGTACGGACAGACCACATTCAGTGGGTGTCAGGGTTCTGTATACAGGGAGTGAATACATGGCGTATCCTTGCTGGAAGATCTGTCAAAATGAAGCCATTTATCCTTCCAAATCCTCGTTATGTATGACAATGACATAAAGACAGCTTCATAGGGGAACCATATTTAAGGA